AACTGGCAATGACTCTGTTTGACTGAAGTTTGTACCTAGGCACCTTGGACTATTTTGAATGTACAGTACAGACCAAAAGTTTGGACACACTTTCTCATTCAATGAGCTTCCTTTCATGACTATTGACTGTAGATTCACACCAGGCTGTGTAAGGGCTATTTGACCAAGTGTGATGGTGCTGGGCTAGATGACCCGTTCTCCACGGTCACCGGACCTGAACCCAATCCAGATGGTTTTGGACCTGAACCCAATCCAGATGGTTTTAAGGCTGGACAATAGAGTGAAGGGGAAAGGGCCAACAAGTGCTAAGCATCTCTGAGAACTCCTTTAAGACTGTTGGAGACCACTTCAGGTCAATAACTCTTGAAGCTCAAAAAATGCCAAGAGCAGTAATCAGAGCAAAAGGTGCTACATTGAAGAACCTAGAATATAAGACATATTTTCAATTGTTTCATACTTTTTTTTTTTTTTTTTTTTTTTTTAGGTACATAATTCTGCATTATTTAACTCAGTTTTGATGCCTTCAGTGTGAATCTACAATTTTCATTATAATGAAAATAAAAATGAGTCCAAACTTTTGGTCTGTACTGTACATTTTAATTCTTTTGTGTTTATAATGTATCCTTTTATACTGCAAAACTAATTGCCCCATTGGCGACATGTAAAAAAATGAAATTAAATGAAAGTAAATAGAAAAAGTGTTCAATGCCCCGAATCAAGCAAAAAAAAATGGATTCTCCTTTCTGAACTCTGCACGTGCCAGACCAGGGAAACCTCATTTCTTTCCCCCTTCATATTCAAACACACGCTGTAAGAGACAAAGGACAATGGAAAGAGACGAGCTCCGTGCAGCAGTCTGTGTTGGATTAGCAGACATCCACAACCCGACACCAGCTGTAGCTCCAGCAGGACAGGAATAGACCGAGGGCGATTCAACACATGCGGGTCCCAGCTCAGAGGCACAACACCACACAGGAGCACAGGGCACCACCGCAGCACCTGTCTGACCGAGGATTAACAGAACCACACAGTAGCTCAACACACACTGGCTTAAATAACACGTACTACTACTTTACTCTCTCATCTGTGCAGTAATAATAATGTCAGAATGTGCAATACAGAACCACATGTGTTCACTGTTACTTTGGCCCATGCTGCTAACAACTGTGTATGTCTTGCACTAGAATATACAGTACGTTATGCTAGCTTGTTATTATGCTAAAGCTAAAGATGCTACACTTACTTCTTATTATGCTAAAATCAGATCTTTTACAATTAATTCTTCATTTTGCTTAAGTTAGATGTTTTAGATTTCTTTATATTTTATTTTCTCATTCCTACTGTTCTGTAACCGGTGATGCAACAATAACATTTCCCCACTGTGGTGTGGGACCAATAAAGGGGAAACCGGAGCACCTGGAGGAAATCTACATAGACACAGGGAGAACAAGCGCGTTGTGTTATCCTGTGTAGAAAGAGCGCTCAAATTAAGATACATTGATTGATTAGTTGATTGATTGAACATGCAAACTCTACACAGAAAGGCCTAGAGGTGGAATCGAACCCTGGACCTTCTTGCTGTGATAAACAAGTGCTAACCACCATGCCGCTCTATAGTAATAATAATAGTACATGTTTAATGTCTAGTGTTAAAATGCACCTGGGTCATATTTGTGGGAAAAAAACATGGAAAGGATTAAGTTTAAGTGCTTGAACTAAGATGTGTCTAAAAAAAAGGAACAATCGAATGAGCTGGCCATTTTCCATGATTTGATCTTGATTATACAATTTCTTTATAAATACTACAGATATTCATTATGACCAATTTATGATGATTATTTATTTGGTCTAATCCTAAAACTAAACCAACTAAAACAAGGACTGAACGATTTTGATACCAATTGTAAGTCTAATTTGGATATTTCAGATTTAAAACTGCAGATATGTGTAATGTAGATTATTCAAGAAACCCATACAATAGCTGATGCAAATATGTTGCACTAAAACCATTTGTTTTAGTCTGTTTTCCCGCCAAATTCGTTTGAGAATGTCTCCAGTATCCAGTAGGACACCGCGCCATGTTTGACGTTCACTAAAAGAGCAGAATGCCATTTCTCTGTTCCTCTTCCTCTGTGGGGACAGGACTCTTCTGAAAATTAGGGTCTATTTAAAAAGTAAATTAATACATCATTTATATGGTTTTAGAACTTTGAAGTTGCAGTTTGTGATTTATTTAAGAAGGTCCTTGGTTCGATTCCACCTCCAGACCAGACGGAGTCTTTTAGTCCAAGGTTTACATGTTCTTCCTATGTCTGGTGGGTTTCCTCCAGGTGCTCCCGTTACCCCTATACCACTAAAAACATACACAATAGTAGCACGTAACACCCTCCCCCCCAACCCACCTCCCATCTGGGGCCGGGACTCCCCTTGAAAAAAAAGAGATTCCGAAATCTCAGTGAGACTTTCCTGTTTAATCAAAGCCAAGGTCAAAAACCAAAACAATGACGTTGACTCCATTTTGCGACGTCTTAAAACACAGCTGCAGTGACTAACATGTTTATAGAGTAGGGTTGTATCATGGATCTTCTCTCAGGGCTGTTCTATTTTCTGCCAAGATGATTTACTAATAGTGTGATGTCATTGTAGTGAAACTCCTTTAAAAGAAGAATCGCTGAGTCATGTTATTTTCAAAGACAACTATTTCTCCAAAAGACATGACTCACGGCTTTAATTGAAAACACGTGATCTCGATCCCAATCGCAGAACCGCAGCCACAAAGGCCCTAAATTCACGAGAAAAGCTCCAACCGTATTTCAGTACAAAAGCATCGCACTGACGAAGAATTAAATGCTAATGCTAATGCTAACACAAGATTTCAAGCTTGATTTTCATACTAGAAAACAACACTCGACATCAATTTTGAAATTAAAATAAATTCTCTTACAATACATTTATAACTCAAAACAATACTTTTTCATTGTGTTTTTTTCTGGCATAGTTTACAAATGTACAAAGAAAAGAAAACTCAAGATTTTGTCCCGTTTATTACATATGTTAGCATCTAATCTATACATGCTCAAATACTAGCTTTAGTTTAAAACTCAATATTGTAATTACTGCTCTGTTAAAAAAAATAAAACATGAAAATCACATCCTACAACACAAATCAGGGGTCTCCAACCTGTGGTTCAGGAGCTACCAGTAGCTCGCCAGCCCCTTTCAGGTAGCTCCCCAAAGCATTTAGAATGTAACACATGATCTGGAATGATTCACGTTTGATTCACGATAAGTATAAATATAAGGGTGGTATTTATATTATTATATTATGGTATATTTTGCATGTGTTTTCCTTGTTTTGTCGTGATTACTACATAGATTTTTATTATGACTGCAAAAAGTAGTAGCTCTCTGACTCTTGTGTTGTATAAAAGTAGCTCTCCCATTGAAAACGGTTGGAGACCCCGTCGTAAATGTTTTGAAGTCTGTAAATAGAGCCGTTACTGATTAATCGATTACTAAAATGGTTGAATTATTGAGAAAAACCTGATTAGTCGCAACCCACCACACAGAAGAGAGAAGATTACCCACTTACTAGACCAGGGCTGTGCAATAGGCTTTGTTTTGAAGGGTAGATTTGTGTAGTACTTACTGTGAAATATGTACAATTTAGTGCTGTAACTGCTTAGCTGTTTAGAACGCTGATACAATATTTTATCTCAGTTTGGCCCTGATAAAACTGAATTACTACCATTTTACAACCGTGTTAATGGAAGTAATACAGAGCTCACCTTTAGCATTTGCTGTGTGTGTATGTGTCTGTCAGTGTGTGTACTTGTGTGTGTGTGTAACAACTCTATCCAAACTAAAGCCAGGGGGAAACATTTATTAAGGTTTACCTCTGCGCCAACTTCTTTGAGTGCCGCAAATAGTTTCACCAAATTAAAATGCAGGGTCCAAGTCCATACTTACACTAGAAATGTCATCATAGTAACACGTGCTTAAATACTGGTACAATACACATTCAAGTGACACAGTATGAAACCAGGTACTAACATTACAGCTGTATTATCCCCATTCTACAGTATTTAGAAATGTGTTTCTCTTCTGTTCAAAGATAAAGAGAAAATACAATCATGCCAGTCATGTGATTAGATTATTATGCACCCAACGCTGGTTAAGTTTTAACAATATCTGCCTCCTGTCAAGTGTATCTATAATAACAATATAAGTGCTTTACATATGAAGAGCAAGGTCTAGTTTTTCCTATTCACTTAACGTATTTTGGATGATTTTCCCAAATTTCAGGAAAATCTCTCTCCACTTTTTGAACAAAACTCTCTGGTCTTATTTGACGAGCATGTATCACCAGAATGATTCACAATTACTAGGACCTATAGTCTTGATGATCCACCCGGAAGTAGAAAATCCTTATATAAACCTTTGATTGTACTGCAAAAAGACATAACCAAAAGGAGAAGTCATATTTTTTAACCTGATCATTTATAATAGTACAGAACATGTTAAAAATAAGCCTTGTATATATCAGCTATATTTGTATTGAAAGAAATGGGGTTTTTCGTATGTTATGGTATGATTGGGAACAGCCATAGAGAAACTATACATAAAACTAATTTCTTATCTTACTAAAAATACAATAGGTTACAGAATCGCGGGACAAGATATTCTGAAACACTGAAATCGCATGGCTAATTTTCACATTTCAAAACATATTCAACAGCAGAAACAACTATGCACGTCTATAAAAAGAACGAAAAAGACCAGATAAAGTTGAAAATTAGTTTGGAAACTGACTTCCCAGGCCTCAATCCCTGGATAATTCCCAAGAACATAACGGAGGTCTTGCTCGATTATACATTTGGAAAACACGTCCACACTCATCCTGGTTTTGTTTTTAATACTTTAAAGCCATGCACAACATTTTACCCGCTTTTAAAACCAGCTTTGCACGCTTTTCGCAATAATTGTCAACTTTTTCCTACCTGCAAGGAATCGGCGGCCATCTTGGTTTTTCGCCTTTTTGAATCAAATCTTACTACGGGGAGCAGCCTGGAAGTCCCAGACCCAGCCTCGGCTTCGCGTTCCCTGGCTTCCCGCTGACTGACGCGTGTGGTGCCCGCGGAGAGGCGCTCATGTCGGGCACAAACTTATCCCCATGCAGCGGTGAGTCACTTGTGGATCGCGGTCCCCGGTAGTGGGCCAGTCTGCGCTCGGATAAGTTTAGTGTCCCAGTGGAGAAAAGGAGGCGGTGGTTAAAGCTGGAGACGCCCGCCCAGGAGTCGCTCTACCAGGGACACAGCAGCAGCACATGTGACCCACAAACTTCACTAACCTCATCCCTACCAGAGCTCCAGGCATCAGAGGAGAGGACATCCCAAAGAGACAGGGGCCGTGAATGAGTTTATTTGACAACACGCAATACACATTATTCTTATATGAAGAAAATATGTCAGTTTTTTTTGCAAAGAAGCTAGTTTCCACCATGAATGTATTATGTTGGTGGTACATTATTAGAGTAAGGCGTAAGATTTCACTGGGTTTGTTTAGTTCAGTGCAGTGCAGTACAGTTCAGTTTATTTGCCATTTGCATTAACAAAACCACATTGGAATACATTAGCAAAAAGTCACCAGTGTGCACAGACAAATACAGACATAAAACAACATTAAAAGACAGAAATAAAACAAATAAAACAGTAAACAAATGTCACTGTGAAATCGATCGGCTAAAAAACAGTTTCAAAACAAGTGCAAATCATTAAAGTACTGTGTTCAAACAGATAACAGCCTGTGGAAAAAAGCTGTTCGCATAACGAGATGTCCTGCATCTCACAGAACGATATCTTCTACCAGAGGGAAGAAGCTGGAACATGGCTTTCCCAGGGTGGCCAGAAGAGTCATTGACAATCCTAAGAGCTTTGTTTAAAAGTCTGGATTGGTAAAGAACCTCCAGAACAGGAATCTCACACCCCATGGTCCTCTTTGCAGAGCTTACGAGTTAATTTCTTAGGCAGGAGGATGTAAGACAGACCTGAACAAACTGAGGCCCGAGTGCCACATTCGGCCTGATCAAGTTTCCATGTGGGACCCTTTCTCATCCACAAACTTCATACTGTCTCCACCTATTTAAATGAATGGGAATCAATACCCAATGAAGGTTTGCAACTTCAGGAGTGCTATGATGACATTTTGTATCTCTCAATACTCAATATTTTCCACTTAGCTTTAGTCCAGGCTTGGTTCAGTCCAAGAAAGAAATTAAATCTAAAGACAATTAAGTCATATAATCCAATATTTAATAGAATAATAGTATCCTCAAAGTACCTCTCATAGTGTAAAAGGTTAACAACATTATAGCTTCATATGCGAAAGATCACACTGTTTACACAACCACAAAAATGACATTGGATATCTTCTGGTTTTCCTCTCCTTCTCTTCTGTTAATATTTGTGTTAATCATATACACACAATTTTGTTGCATTTATAACTGAAGTAGCTTACAAGCATGTACTGATATTCAAATGTGGCCCCTAGGAGACAATAATTGCCCACCCCTGGTCTAAGGACAGTGGTGATGATCCAGAACATTTATGGACATTTATTAACTCCTATATGTTTGTTGATATTACATTTCCTCTGTGTAGATTAATTGACAACTTCGAGACAACTACTTTTGTAATTTAGGGCTGTACAAAAATAAATTTAATTGACTGATCAAGAGTCGATATAGAATTAAACAATCAGTGTTTAGCCTTATTAAATTCACTATCTCTCACATACAGACCCATGACAGAGCTCAAAGTTATATTTTGTTTATTTGAATGGTACATCAACATTCGAAAGTAAAATGTGAAGAAATACACTCCCCATGGTAAACTCAGAACGATGTTGTAATCTGTTGATTCTGTACAGAGTGACGTCAGCAGACCGAGAGGAGCGCGCTTTGTTATCTGGTCTTTCAGTGACATCTGTTGGTGAAACGTGTGTAGTGCATCTCTGATTTATTGACCTATAAGTACACATCCCGCTCCGGAGAGCCTTCACGAGTCTCTGTGGCGCAATCGGTTAGCGCGTTCGGCTGTTAACCGAAAGGTTGGTGGTTCGAGCCCACCCAGGGACGGAAGCTTTTTGATCTATAGAGAAACCATCCACTTCATCTCGACCACGTTTGTTTTAGCAGTAGTCCGTTTTCTTGGTTAATGCAGGTGATGATGATGTCATACTTAAGAAATGACAGAGTAGCATAAAGTTGACTTTATTCATTAATATCACTCTGAAAGTGAGAAGCTGTTAGATTGAGCGCTTTGTGAGTTTTATCTGTGAAAGTCACTGCACAAAAGAAAGATAAATACTAGTAAATACTAACTAGTATTTACTATGATTTCGTGACATAAAATAAACAGGCAATATACCGTACATTCTGTATTTTCCACACCACCTAAATTTGAAAAGAAAATCAATTTTGTCCACACATAGGCCGCACTTGAATATAAGCCGCATGTTTTCATGTTGTAATGTATCAGATAGATGGTTGTTTTAACTGGACACAACATGATTAAATGATAAAGTGTTTGAAATTCTTTCATGTGTTATCTCAATCTTTTAGCTATTATTTTAGCTTGACACTCTTGATAAAAGAGATTATTAATCTCAATGAGGTTCTCCTGGTTGAATAAAGGTTAAATAAATAAATACAAATATACAGCTAAAACATTATTCGCCTTCATCTATTTTGACAATAAATGAGTCTCCAATAGCCACTAAAACTTGGAGTCAAAATTACAGATTTAAAATAAGTATATTAGCTGCATCTCTATACATACTATGCCACATGATTCAAATATACCAATTAACTTGTTGCACAGAGAACCAAAGCAATTTCTTAGTTTGTGACTTCCTGTTATATGTAAAAAACACAATTTCTGTTGCACATTCACAATAAGAGGTTAATATAAAAACACAAATTTATTTGTATTTGACGTTTTATTGGTGTATTTTTGGCAACCAGAAGATGAACACAGTCTGCAACACAAAAACAGCAGGTTGTAAAGGCACAAAGTTACAAAGTTTGCACTCCGCACTGCAAATCTGATTACAAGACTACGGTTTAATACATTTCTTCAGAATCGCCCTGGCATCTCAGTAAAGGCTGGAAAACTCTGCTGCAAAATCCAGAACCTAAAACACACTATTAACTTTTGTACAAGTGCAACAAAAGGACAAAAAGATACTGTAAGCATTTCAGTGGATATAGAAGGTGACATTCTGAGCAATTGGGCAAAAAACAATTTATTTTATGGTCAATAGAACAACATTCAGTTTAAAAAAGCACATTGTTGGTAAACATAGCCCCAAATCCACTAGTCCAACTACTTATACTACTCTTCATGTTTTCCACTGGCCCTACTGGTACCGCAGTTTCCTGATTCTAACTAGACCTATTCACTTGGATTGTGGGTCAAATCAGGCCTGCCAAACAATCTGATTTGTCCCAAGGGCCAATTTATAAACAGAGACAACAAATCTCAGGTTGATTACTGATTTAATTTAATTTAATACATTTATTTTTGTATAGCCTTAAATCACATCAGCAGTCATCTTGGAGGACTTCAAAAAATGATCTGTATTCCCAAAAACAGATCAGGGAACCAAACAGTTGCAATACAATAACATAGGAGCCATTGGTGCATAGGGAGCGGGGTGACCAATGCCCATAAAGGTCCCTATAAAGGCCCCCAAATGTCCTGGATCATCACTGACCCTCCTGCATCGGCTAAGAACGACTCAAAAAAAAAAACGTTTACAACAAACTTAGGCTTGTCTGGTTCATCAGTTACATTAAGTGGGTCATGGCTATAGCAATGTTGACGTCATTGTTAAATCAAATGTTAATCGTCTCAAAGGTGGACTTGATATGCAATTATCTGGCCTGGATACAATGGTCCTACTAAAAATCCAGCCTGAATAGCTCTGCTCTAAACTGTTGTTGACAGTGATTGACCAGAGTGCTGCTGGAGATCTAAATAGTAATGGAAACACAGCCGTGTAGAGAGGAGTGCCAATTAGAGGGATGGTGGAAACAGGGCTTTAATGGCTTTGGCAAAAAACATGAGGTGGATTCAGACTGTATGAATAAAACACTTTGTAATTGCAAGTCCATGCATTTTTGGACCTTGGGAAGTGGAATATCAGACGCGAACTCGAAAAGACATTCATCTGACTGTCGGGGATTGGACTGAGACACACTGAAGGAATTCTGTTGCAAAATTGGTAGGTTTTAGTGCTATATTTGCTAATTTGACAGATGTAGCATGAAGCATACTTGATATTTATTTTTTTCTCTAAGGGCGTTTCAGGACTGTAGGTTCTAAAGGAAAGTAAATGGCATTAGAGCATAGAGCAGACATTTGTTTACTTTTGTGAGCTAACCGTGCGAAAACGGCATTCCCTTTTGTACCCAAAGTTTTATTTGGATTGAATCATGTGTGAGTAATGCTGTATTAATATATTAAAATCACTAACAACTCATGTCTGTGGCCTATACCACAATGCAGGCCTAGTTCAGGCAAAAATGCAGGCAATATTGGCCTATAATAGTTCTTACTCTTTTCAGTCTCTTTTAAATTGTGCTATCCGATTTAAATACGTTTTGAAATGTAAGACTAGCAAAACACATTAAGGATTTTTTTTTCCAAGATAATTTGGATAATCTTGAGAAATAAGTCATCTGTTTATGACATAGAAGCAGCAACAAAACATGAAAATGAAAACAGCAGTGGATAAATATGGGGATGATAAGTGTGATGTCTTTCTCACTTCCCTGCTCAATATTACTTTTTAACTTTATGTTAGAGTTCATGCCCTTTTTATTCTAATGAATGAACAATCAATAGAAAAGCTAACACTATGCTAATGTTATGCTAACAGCTTGTGTAGATTGTATTTTAACAATGCTAAATTAAGGCCAACAACAGATTAGCGAACATTAAAGTGTTATAACTAATAATAAAACATAACTAATAAAGTATTAAGCAGACGGACTGTCCTTTTGAGCGCTATTAGCTTTAGCATGGACCCGGAAGTGCAGTGTGATGCCATCAGTTAGCAGCCCCATAGCAACAGATGACCAAACCCACGGACATACATATTGGACACTATAAATAGATTAAAATGACACAACACTAAATCAGATATCCACTGTAAACTTGATTATTTACAGCAGCAGCAGCAGCATATGCACAAAAAAGCGTCCTTGCGTTTTAAATCAAATGTACAAGATTCAAAGACGTTCGATAAGCTCAGTAGAAAATGTACAGTCCAATACAAAGTCTATTCTCACATCAGTCTGTTTTATATATAAAAAATGGTCATATATTCAAGTTGCCGCAGTCGTCCGGAGGAGCTCTCTCTTCAGGCTGGTGAAATGTGGCTGTACATGGGGCAAAAAACAAGACTAAATAAAAATACAACTTAAATCAGCTGTTTCAACCTTTTCCTGTGAATTAAAGGGCCTGTACGGGCGGGCGGCACGGTGGCTGAGTGGATAGCACTCTCGCCTCTCAGCAAGAAGGTCCTGGGTTCGAATCCCGGTCGGACCAGGGCCTTTCGGAGTGGAGTTTGCATGTTCTCCCCGTGTCTGCGTAGGTTTCCTCCGGGTACTCCGGTTTCCCCTACCACTAAAAATATGTCCAATAGTTCTGGCATGCGCCTCCTGTACTGGCCCCGCTCCCATCTCTGTGTGGAGTGAGAGACAAATGCCCAAAAATTAACAATTGTAAACCGCTTTGAGACTCAGATCTGCAGTGAAAAGGCGGTATATAAATAAAAACTTACTTACTTACTTACTTACTGTACCCAATGACAAAAAAAGAAAGAAAAAAATCTTAAACTATAATGTTTACATTTCTCACATCCTATATTCACTGTGATGCGTTTAGAAGTGTCTTTGCACAACTTTGGAGACCTGTGGAGTTATCCTGAGTTAGCGACACTCAAGAGTTAGCTACATCAGCAAGAGAGGACGTTGGCTTTTTATATTATATAGATATCTTTTTAATTTTGTTCTAGAATTTTGATATTTCTACTTTCTAAAAGTAGTGTATATTTAGGATCTGTAAGCCTGTTTGTTAATAAAAAACAGCTTCACTAGCAAGAGTTATCCCGAGTTAGCTCCACTAGCAAGAGTTATCCCGAGTTAGCTCCACTAGCAAGAGTTATCCCGAGTTAGCTCCACTAGCAAGAGTTATCCCGAGTTAGCTCCACTAGCAAGAGTTATCCCGAGTTAGCTCCACTAGCAAGAGTTATCCCGAGTTAGCTCCACTAGCAAGAGTTATCCCGAGTTAGCTCCACTAGCAAGAGTTATCCCGAGTTAGCTCCACTAGCAAGAGTTATCCCGAGTTAGCTCCACTAGCAAGAGTTATCCAGAGTTAGCTCCACTAGCAAAAGTTAGCCAGAGTAAGACATATTAGCATAGCCCTTCTGCTTTTCTTATGACAATAAAAATCAATAATCAGATAAAAAACCGTAATGTTATATGTATTTAAAGAAAAACAGTCTCAATTACACTGCATAAAACTGGGTACAGGCTCTTTAAAGTTGTTGAGAGCGTGGTGGAAGATTTTTTTGGCCATATTTTTCTTACTTTTCTTCAAATTTATACAAGAATTATAACTTGTAAATGTGGTTCTACACCCCAAAAATGATTTTCTAAGAGGTTGACTTGGTTCACAGTAAAAAAAAAAAAAAAAAAAAAAAAAAAGTCTAGTTGGAATTCTTTACACCAGATAAAACATACACAAGATGTATTACTTTTTTGTTTAACCCTTTTTAAATAAATTATAATTTTTTCTTTGTGGGTCAATAATTTCCAGTTGTCGGTTGTGTTACAGAATCACATTTTTAGCTTTTCGCAATATCCTCCTTTTTTTGCTAAGAGGCTTTGAATTGTTTGGCAACCACTAGATGTCACTGTCAACATACGGTGTACGTCCCTATCTGCCACAAGCACAGGCCTAATTTTACATTTAACACTTGGACGACCAAAAATCTGAAACAACTTGAACTCACCAAGCAGTCATTTTGACGGCTCCCATTCAAATCAATGGAAAACACGTTTGAAAAATAAAAGATGATTCTATATTGATAATTACATAAAAAATAAACTACATAGAGGTACAGAACAAGTCTTAAAGTTAGAGGTCAACATGAGCTGGGTACTTGCAGTTCCCAAACTAAAAGCCGTCATGTTGACTGCTCTGGGAGTTCTAGAGTTTAAACAATTCAAACACAGCTAAAACAACAGTACGGAGCCAATGGGAAAAAACGCCTGCTTTTCATTGTCCCATGACACAAGCCATCTCCGATCAAAGTGAAGCATCCTGGGAAATGTAGTCTACTTCAGTTTTTCCCCCCAAAGCTGTCAAAAAATGTCGTTACGTGTCCCAATGCTTCCATGTTTTTTAATTCCAAAACGACTCATGAGAGAGTTCATTTCCGGTCTCTGTTCTTGGGGTATATTTTCTCGTAGAAGTAGTTTTGGGCTAACAGGTAGAGTTCCCCGTCTTTCTCCCGGACGGCGTGGGCGCGTACGAACTGAAACTGCTCCAAGGCGAATTCGTAAAAGTCGTTTTCCATTTTCCAGATCGACGACTGCTGAAGTTTGGCCACGGATTCTTTGGTCGGCGGCTTTTTTTCCGTGGTTTTCCGCAGGTGGGATTTTTTTCCTGTGGCACATAGAAGCAAATGTGAAGTTAGAACAATATTACTGGGGTGGAAAAAAGATTATTGTGTATTTCTATTGTTAGTAACTTTCAGATCTATCTGTCTATCTGTTTATGTATCGGTCAATCTATCTATTTGGCCCTTGAAGAAACATGATCGTGTGAAACTTTACTTGTGTTGTAGAATGTTAAAGAAGACGCATTATGAACGTTGACTTTTTTGAGGTTTTATACCACAACCTAATCAAAGCAGACCTAGAGTCGGTTTTAGATCCATCCATGCTAATACCAGAAACTAGTCTTAAAGCTCCTATAGCTTCTGTATCAGTATCGATGTCATTGTACCTCTAAGACATCACACTCAGAGCAGTTTTCTGTCTTTTAAAACAAAAGTATTGCCTTTTTTTGTGTGTATTTTTTGCACTCACAAACACATACTCATTCACCCTGAACTGTATGGGGTAAAAGAAAGTCAAAATGCAGAAAATTCCCCATTGTAGGATTAATAAAGTATCATTTATTCACGCTAAATCAACAGGCTCCTTTGACAGTGCTACCAATCTCCACCACAAGGGGTCAGCGCAGAAATACATAATTTGTCCAAGATGCTTATTTTTATCTATAACTTATAACTTTGTGTAAGCTCTATAACTTATAACATTATATCTGTTGAGCCAGAGCCAAATCTTCCATTATTCCAGTTTGATTTTTTATTTGTTTATGTTTTTGATCCTCTGGCAGTAATCTCCATAAGTGTGCTGTGTCTGGGATCTGACTGACGCGGTCTCAGGACTCATTACTTAATGCTGCGGTGATTTCATTTCTGGACAGACTTTATCGAGCGTCGAGTCTGAAAGATTTAAACCTGTCACTCTCCATCAGTGCGAGCGTATTTGTCATCTGAGCCTTCTACTGTAACCGCATCAGGAGCCGGACACTTAACCGTCGACATTCTCCACGGACGCGGCTAGAAGGCAACCAGGCGACGTGTTAAGTGTGGATGGGCAGAGGGAATCTGTTTAGAATGGTAATGCTATACTAACTATTCATGAAGATAAAAAGTGTCAAAGTGGAGACAGAATCACCAGAAGGAGGGTCTAAGGACAGTGGGCATGATCCGAGACCAAAGCTGTCAAATATTCACATTTAATGTCAAAGTTCACTTGCAATGATTCGTACATTTTTACCCATTGGTTTGAAAATCAAGGGATAGAAAGACGTCTATTCGTTCTCCTGTCTGTCTTTCTGTCCGTCCGCTCATCTCTGACTCGGATTTTCTCACTTTTGATGAAATAAATATCTAGTTTAAAAAAAAATACTTTATAAGACCTTCTGGAAGCACATTTGATTCAGTAATAAACATTATTCAAAAGTATTTTGTCGTCAACAAGGTCTGGACATGTCATAATTTGTATTTTACAATTAGTGGATTTGTATGATCAGAAAATCCTACTTTATTTATAATCATTAAAGTCTCTCCCCCCCTCTCTCTCTCATTCTCTCTCCCTCTCTCTCCCCTCTCTCTCTCATTCTCTCTCCCCTCTCTCTCTCCTCCCTCTCTCCCCTTTCTCTCTCCTCTCTCTCCCCCTCTCCTCTCTCTCCCTCTATCTTCTCTCTCTTTCTCCCCCCTCTCTCTCTCCCTCTCTCTTCTCTCTCTCCTTCTCTCTCTCTCCCTCTCTCTCCCTCTCTCTCCCTCTCTCTCCCTCTCTCTCCCCCCCTCTCTCTCTCTCCTCTCTCTCCCTCTATCTTCGCTCTCTCTCCCCCCCTCTCTCTCTCCCTCTCTCTCCCCCCCTCTCTCCCCTTTCTCTCTCCTCTTCCCCCTCTCTCTCTCCTCTCTCTCCCTCTATCTTCTCTCTCTCTCCCCCTCTCTCTCTCCCTCTCTCTCCCCCCTCTCTCCCCTTTCTCTCTCCTCTTCCCCCTCTCTCTCTCCTCTCTCTCCCTCTATCTTCTCTCTCTCTCCCCCCTCTCTCTCTCTTCTCTCTCCCCTCTCTCTCTCTCTCCTCCCCTCTCCTCTCTCTCCCCCCTCTCTCTAACGTCCCTGTTAGAGCGTCCCTGTGATCATGCGTCCCTTTGTCACCTGTCCTGTAGAGCTCGGTGGCTCCTCTGAAGAACCGTGGCAGTGCAGCCTCCAGCATCATGACGAAGTCCTCCAGCTCCTCGGTGACTCCCACCAGCAGGTACTCGTTCACCAGGGTGCTCTTGGCCTGCTCCAGTGCCCACTGACTGCCCACGTTCCTGGGGGATCACAGGGACAAGACTTCATTCACCGCTATCATTCATGCATTCATTATTTTTGTGAAATGCGTCTTATTCTCTGCTGCTGTAGAATTAAACCAATCATCTGTAAACGTGACCGACTGTAATGGTGTTGGTTTTATTTCTGTATTTGGTTTCATTTTTGTTTTACTTCCCGTCTGGTTCCGCCGTGTTGATGGTCCACTGTGTTGATGGTCCATTGTATTGTCAAGTTCAGTCCATATCTGTTCTGTTCCGTCCTGTTTCTGGTTCCGTTGAACTTTTTTAGAGTTTTGTTTTTACCTTGGACTTTTATTTAATTAAATTTATTTAAAGAAACCGACTACTTCACTTGCTTGCAAAAAGCCATATCCTGTCAGACCTTTGAAGCTAAGCAGGGCAGGGTCTGATTACTGTGATGGGAGACCTCTGGGAACAGCAGGTGCCACAGTGGGGCGGCAGAGGCTGTAAAGTGTCAAATTGTCGTTGTGTCCTTAGGCAAGACACTTCACCCACATTAGAATGAGTCTGGTGTGTGTGTGTGTGTGTGTGTGTAGTTGGTGGGGGTCGGAGAGGCAGATTATTATTATTGCAGAGTATTCTCCACAAGTTACTTATCTTTTAAAATATCTCAATTTTTTACTATCTTATTATTTCACTCTCTAATATCTTAAATAATAAATCATTTTTTATGAGTGCTTTTATTTCTCCATCTTTCCTGCTGTAATGAATGTGCAACTATGATCGTTTTATACGGACGCACATGAAAAATGGAGTAGGAGATGACTGGAGAATGCAACACTCCCATCTAATGGTAGCAGTGGGAAATTACATTCTTTTAGATCTTGGAGTAAATCTGACATGGCACGATTTAATTGAAGGAAGATCGCAGTAAAAATAATTAAATAACTAAAGGAAACGGCGCCAAATTGTGTCTAAATTTCAAATAAGTGTCATTTTTTAAACTAAATATAATAATGCTTTTGATGGATGGAGAGGATTATTTGCTGAAATTCTCCAAAGTTTCCACTTTTTGAACCACCGCCTCAGCAGGACTAGGTTCATGTTTTGTGGTCTTTACTTTCCTTTTATATACAACACTTTTCTACCTTCCTCTGGGGTGACGGTGAGCAGCGTGACCTTCAGAAAATAAACGTTTCTGGAGATATTTCAAATGCGTCGTATCCTTTGCAACAGCATCTCTAAAAGCATCCAGCGACCCAGCCCTGCTCCGGTCATATATCAGCGGCAGAAATCGCACTTTTATGGTCCATAACAAAGTCTGGAACGCGTCCAAACTGAGCATTAGTGCGAACAGCTCCAACACGGCTTCAGAGAGAGAAAACTGCTGCTGTCTGCCCGTGTCACCCTGTCTATAATAACATCAGCTTATTTTTATTCACAAGGCAAAAGTGAAGGCAGCGTTTTGCAGCAGACGGACAGATAAGAGGAGATGGAAAAGCACTGGAGCCTAAAATGATCCAACAGGAAGAAGACGAAGCACAAGAAGCTGCCGCCGCCGCCGAGCAAACAGGCTCCAAAAGATAGTTTTGTGTTTTATGAATTTATGAGGAGCACCGCAGAGCAACACTTCCAGGTGTGGGGAAAAATGTCACATTTTAGTTTTTGGATTTTATTGAAACAGTGGTTTTTGTTCTTTCTTGTTTGATAAAATTGCTACAGAAACTTAACCCACACATGTTTGATGATGCATAGTACTAATATAGCTCCGTTCATGATGCTGCAGTAGTGATAACATGTTACTAAACAAGTTACACATGTACAAATGTATCACAGAAAAGTCCTTCAGTTCTGTATCCGTCGCTGTGACAATATTATCTTCAATGGAAAAATAGAATGGCATATTTTCATCTTCCTGCTGAGAATGTTCCTTAACTGAACCCATCTCTGACTCAGGGATTTTCTCACTTTTGATAAAATAAATATCTAGTTTTTAAAAAATACTTTGGAAGACCTACCTGAAGCACATTTGATTCAGTAATAAACATTATTCGAAAGTGTTTTGTCGTCAAAAAGGTCTGGAAATGTCAAGATTTGTTTTTACAATGAATGGATTTGTATGATCAGAAAATCCTACTTTATTTATATTTTTTAAAGTCTCTCCCCCCTCTCTCTCTTGCCCCCCTCCCCCTCTCTCTCCCCTTTCTGACTCTCTCTGCAGGTGAAGGTTTTTGCCTAAGGATACGCAGCCACACTCCCCCTGCCTGGTCCCAGAGGTCTCCCATCACAGCACTACCTAGGCCCTGACCTGCTTGGCTTGAAGTCTCTCAAAGCGACAGTTCTCTCACTTGACTTCAACCCTTTGGACACATCTCTGCACAGTTCCCGGAGCAAAGCACTGACCAGCATTCTGAATAGTGTCCACAGAAGAAGGGGATCTGCAGCCACAGCTTCTCTGGAGCACAGTCCGACCCTCCGGCAGAAACACACTCATCAAATGTCTGCAAGAGAGATACACACAAGAGATACACACAAGGAGAGTTTTGTTACACTGGCCGCACACGAGCTGC